AGATGAAAACAATAACTTGGCGCGACACAGGAAGGTCTGAAAAAGGGTGATAAAACGAAAAGATTTAAACAAGGTGTTTCACAAAAGGAAGGGTTTCAGAAAGGAGTTTTGATACTGTACTTTTTTGCAAACCGTCGCGCTAGTATGCAGTAGAGAACATAAAGAACATCGCGCAATCCTTTCATGTATGAAGCCGCTTGAAGAAGAACAGTGAAGAATTGTATAATCGCAAAAACTCAACACACATTCCTCAATTGAACCTCTGAAGAAAGGAACAGAAGGGCCTAGAATCTAATTGACGGAGAGACACAACAAACACATTGCAACACAAACTATCCCGGCAAGAGACTCTAAAACATGTTAAGATGTGTTATACAAGTAGAAAGGAAACAAGGTTGAATAAGCCAAATTCTGCGCTCTAAAGCGCACACACGCGAGCACATATGTGAGAAGACTGAGAGGTTACAATTGCAACAGCACAGGGTAAAAAGCACACATGTCAGAACAAAATGCGATACACGTGAGAGGACAGGTATGAGAGAGCACAAACTCGAGGGCTAAACACAAGCGAGCGCGCATGTGAAAGCGCTCGTGTGAGAATGCTGACATGAGAGTGCGCCAATGGTGAGAACCTTATGTGGCCAAACACATGAGAGCACATGTGCGAGAGCGTGCGCGTGAGAGTGCAGAATAAGAGAGCACATGGATGAGAGCACGCGTGAGAGCACACATATGACGGCACCGGTAGAGCGTGTGAGGCAACACACGCATAGAAGACATGCGCAAAAGCGCGCGCAGGAAAGCACGGGCGTGAGTGAGCGCACGTATGAGAGCACACGCGCACATTGAGAGCAAACATAAACAAGGGCGCCTGTAAGAACTCATCTAATGAAAGAACACGCGTGAGAGCACAAATGCGCGAGCGCAAATGTATGAGCAAGCACATGAAATTCTGAAAGCAAACGCGCGTGTGAATGTGCGCATATGAGAGAGCGCGCAGGAAAGGGCAAGTGTCAAAGCACACACGCGCAAGCGCGAAATGATAGCACACAGACACTTAATATACAGGCAGCGCGCGCATGAGAGCATAGATAATAAGAGAGGTGCGCCTGCCACGATATCTGCACTTGGAGGTTCACAAGACGGGGCGCCTGCCATGAAGTCTGCGCCTCAAGGCCCCTGCGAAATCTACACTTCGAGGTCGCAAAATGCTGCGCCTGTCCTGCCCCGGCGGAGAATGTGCATTTGGAGGTTCACACAGCGCTGCGCCAGCCACAAAATTACGTACCTTCACAATGCGCTGCCCCTCCCGCGAAATCAGCACATCAAGAATCACTGCGCAAACACAAGCCTGTCAAAAAAGCAGTTCAAGATGCCAAGGGCAGAAGGTGAATGAAACCGCACATAGCAACGATTTAGCCGCGCGCTGGTGAGCGTCCTAGATCAACCTCAGTCTCAACTTTTACAATACGGGTGCTCCTGGGAGATGTTTTTCACGCAAAACATGAGCAATACCACTGCTTTTTCAGTGTTTTTTTGCAAAAACATCACCAAAACCTAGGTTTTCAGCTATTTTTAGATCAATTTTGTGAGGACCAGGCCTATAACAGCTTTGAGGGAATACTACAAAACCCAAAAACAAAACACAAAAACAATGTTTGAGACAATGCAGTACTATAGTTGTTTTTTGTTTTTTGCTTCCATTTTGTCTCAAACAGTGTTTGTTTGTTTTTTGTTTTTGTTTTCTGACACGGTTGCGTAGACTTCAGGGTTTGTACAACGGCTTTTGCCGAGTAATGGCGCCACTGTGCTTCCGACAGCGTCGCTAAACGCAAGTCCTGCGTTGAAAATTCTGCATTAAACGGCGTTGAAATTTGATCAAAACGACTCTGGAAAGGCTTCTGGAAAGGCTACCCCTCATGAAGCCACCATACCCTAAATAAAGTGCACCCTATATAAAGCTAAACATTGTTGTTTCCTGTTTTAAGTATCTAAGTAAAGATTCATTTCATTTACTTCTTAAACTCCTTTCTTAGAATCTGGAATGGACTTTATTCAAGGTCAAAGTGAGGGGGGGAGGGGGGGCCCTCTGTTCATTAACAATAGGGGTGCTCCTGCAAAAAGGACGCGTAAAAATACATCGTAAAAATCCAGATAAGCAAGAGACTAAAGCAGTAGTCTCATTGACAT